TAACAGGGTCTCTTACGAAGAAGTTTAACATTGCTTTGATTGTCATCGGTTTTCCACCTAACAATCTCTTTAAGATTTTTGGTCTCTACTTTTTCCATGTTTCCCAATATCTGCATCTGTATCCAGCTCCGTGTCAAAGAATCCAGCTCAAGGTATGACGGCTAACGGAATTCAGTCGATGTAAATCAGACCGTTACGAACAGCAGGTTACTTAAAATGTGAATAGAGGTCATAGACATGATTTGCTCAAACTGCTTTTCCGCAGAAATTTTTCTTCGGCATTTAGCAATATTTAAATTTTGTGGGAGTGGAATGCGACATGATCACACGTGATTGATGTTGCTTGAATAGCAAAGATTCTTGGATCAAGTGCCATTGCCATCTTTGCTTGTATGCAGTATCGCAAGCCTTTTGGATGGTTGATCGCGCAATGAAATATGGAGACTGCTGAGAAAGAAATGTGAATGATTTCAAAGCTATTATGTAGCATTTATTCCCGTTCTGTTGCATGGCGTACCGACTTGAGGACAGCAAACTCCATATCAGCTCCTGCGTTTGGCTCTTGAATGCGGGTTATGGCATTTCGGCTGTTGTGACGCACTCAAATGGTGTTTATCCCCGTATTTAGTGTAATGAACTGAGGAAGCTTCCCATTACCAGAATATGCAGTATTTATTTTCTCTGTCAGTGCAAAGCCATCAGTTCATGAATGCAGGCGTGAAATACCTAGCCTATGGTTTACTGAGGTACAAAGGCGAAATACCTGATACATTTTGGAGATAAGCCATTCCAAATTCCACCCATCTCCCGTCTCATTTGTAGTACGAAACTGGGTCCATAGCGTTTAAGATGTGCTTTGTTACAATACAATTTTCGTTGTCCAGGGACTTTGATAATCGCTGTCTAAGGAACATCCCTGGTCTCAGACAAACAACGTGGTGCATTGGATAACATTGATATGGCAATTTATGCACATTATGCATAGGTCCAGAATTAAGAAGAAATGGGAAAGCACGGAGTGCAAGTAACTTGGTACCTGCGGGTCAATGCCAGCTCAGCATTGTAGCATAGCGGTTTTTTTCGAGCTACATTCCTAGCTGGCCGGGGTGAGCCTGGCTGCAGGTGACGTTTTGAAATAGCTGCATCTCTAGTCAAGATTCTACGCGAACTTTCAAATCCCATGGCAGCGGCCGGAGTGCTGCAGGGGGATGGAGCAGCACGGGGGTTGGAACACGAATGAGATGACCAGGGCGTCTTCAAGACACCCAAGGCGCCCACTGTATCAAGGTTACAAAAGTTCATACGCACACAAGGCTTCGGGATCAATATACTGGGGAATCGAAAATTAGCAAGAAACAGTTCCGTCAAAAAACAGTATGGGGTGGCGGAAAGATTTAAAGGGGTCAAAATTATCATAAGTCACAAAATGGTCATGCATTCAAGATGGTAGGGACCATGGATACCACAGGTAGGCAGGGTGCACTCCTTAGTCGCTAAGGGGTCAGGGGCCAAGGAAACGGTATTAACACGCGCTTGGGTGGGGTGGGGGTCAGATTGATCCTCCCGAAGTCCTTCCAGCATGGTTTCCGAACGGCGCGGCGTAGCTGCACCAAATTTTGCATAGCTGTAGACAATTAAATAGTGGATCGCTTTACATACAAAATTTAGATGTACCTTGTAAGGTCGCTGATCTATCGCAGGCCAAAGTCAGGCCATAGTTTTAGCAAAGGCAATTTCTAGGGAATCGTTCAATCTGATACAACAACGGAGTGTTTGACGAAGCCATACATTTCTGGGATGCTTTCTTAGGCACCAAAAATGTTGAATGAGCAAATAGCATTGACCTAAGGTCAGGCATAAAGGTTAAACCAAGGTCAAAACCTACCTGATTTATTACTCTAGGGTTTCTTGTATGGGATAGTTTCTGGTGCTCATTTCGAATGTATTGACAGCAGAAACCGCATTATACATCTTTCATTGAGTTCTTTAAGGTCAGAAAAGGTCACTGACCTGAGATGACCCGGGTCGACATTTTGTTTTAGGAGCATACTGCCCAGCGTAATCTTTGCCGCTTATTCAAATGCAAAGCTAAGAGCAGTCTTGTATGATTTTGGTCACCATGACCTTCATAAGGTCAAAAAGGTCACTGACCTCAAATGGGCTTGTGACCTTTTGCTTAGAAACAGTTGCCGAGGTTCTGGGGGCACCTTGGAGACCAACCTGGAATTCGACCTTGTTTGAACTTATTTGACCTGGAGGTCGTTACCTAGGAATATCAAACTTTAATCTTAATGAGTCCACGTACAGGTCAAGACACCCAGCAAATTTAGTGTCTCTACCTTTCTTTGTTCCCGAGATCTCAGGGGGATCAAATTGACCCCCCCCCCCCCCATCCCGAGCGAAGGGTATTTAGCCGGCCACCCGGGCGCGTGTTAAGGTACCGTGCGTCCGTGAGGTGGGTTCGGTGCAGTACTGAAGATTCCTATCGAATGAAGTATTCATATCTAGGGACAAAGTATTCCTTTGTTTGGAGGCAAATGCTGATTATACGATGAGGATTTCAAATATGCCTACCTGCTTCTGCTTTAAATATCAAGCCTCTGATGCACAAAACGCTTTTTACTGGACAAAAAGTCTCAGCATTATTTGGCTTCGGGTTTATTTAAAGTATAACGTCATTGGTGACGAGAACACTTGAAGACAACAATGCATAGCTCGAAGCAGCATTCCAGAGTGGATTTGGAGAATGCATCAATGACATGCCGGTGCTTGGGTTGTTTAGTAAATGTCCCCCACATCATAATCAAATGACAGCTGTGCATCTACTTAAGTATCTCTCAATGTCGCGTCACTTTATTGAATGCTATTAATCAATCAACGCCACATACAGAAGAACACGATGCAATGCCGCTTAATCTGTTGTCTCAATATAGCCAGTGATTGCTTCGTAGCGATGCCTCACCAGTACGTCCCGACATGTTGAAGATAGCTTAACTTCATCCTGAGAACTTCGATCTCGCACCGAAAAAGGAACTGAAGTCCTTTCTTGTTTACATGAAGCGTGATAATACGGTTGTAGTCGTCAGTTGGCAAGCACGGCGATGGCAAATACCATGCTGCACAAGAAAATGTAATTATTGCTCACATTAACACGCGCATGCGAATTCAGTGAAATCTTAGTCTTCCTTACTTTACAGTTCTGGAAAAGCTTAGCAAAGGAACATAGCATGTGCAAAACTGAGCCGCAAAGCAGCGGCATAAAAGTGCAGCCAAGTAAAAAACAGAGGCAGGCACAAAAACAAGGAAAAGTAACAGCCTATGCACGGCACAGGCTAAATGCGGCTTGGTATAGATAGGCCACTGGGTTTGCGATTCCCGAGACTTCCTGCCAGAGATCAGCTAAGAGCAGGCAAAAATATCCCATGGGCACCCTGTTCCAGAAAATATTAAATCATATATGCTATAGGGTGCCTTGCAAATAATGCTGACTTAGAAATACTTCGAATTATTGCATCTAAGCATTATGACTGTTAGATCTATGTGTCATTATTGAGCGATGAGGTACAGTGATGGCTAAGCAATACTAAAATTACCGGCATCTAACTACGCCATTAACATCTCAAGCTCATGCACATCGTCCCTTGATGTGTGCTGGTCGACTAGACTTACGTGATTGTACTTGACCATGATATGTACTCGTGCAGAATCAAGCAAACCCCAGTTGGGCATGGACGTAGGGATAAAATGGGCCAGGTCGTCCGCGGCCGATCTGCTTTTCTTGTCAGATTAACATTTGCCGTAAGGTAATGCAAAACAAGACTTTTTTCTTTTTTTAATGAAAATTTTAAATTTTTTTAACTTCTTACTTTTTGCGGTTTTCCCACGTCTCCCTGGTTGGACACACTTGTGTCGGAGTCGAATCGTTTATCCTATCTTTCGGGGGTATAACCGCGGAAGTTTGGCCTGGTTACTACAAAATTGCGTAATTTACTACAAGGGCCATCCTGCTTTTTGACAGAACACGGAAGTTGTTGGGCCAGGTCGCGCTCGAACCTAGTCCCCATTTGGGTCGAGTCTAAATATTGCGCTGCGATATACATAGTTACTTGCTTGTCGATTTTCACCGCACATATTTTGTCGTAGTTAATTTCTCAAATCGTGTGCCAGGGTGGCAAAACTTCGACGGTTACATAAAAACTATAGAATGGTTTGAACCAAGTGATTGCTGTCTAGCATCATGCTTCTAGCTGGCAGCATTACTTCGCTAACGCTTTAATCCGATGTCGTCTGCATTTACCACCTTATGTCAACCGATGTTTGATTTCGAACGTCTATCTCATGAGGCTAACTGCCGGCCAGCATTATGCTTCTAGCTATGAGCTTTATTAGCAACATTATTTCAGCATTAGCAGCATCATTTCGCTGAAGCTTTTATCCGATGTCGTCTGCGTTTACCACATTGTGTCAACCGATGTTTGATTTCGACATCTATCTCATGAGGCTGACCGCCGGCCAGCATTTTGCTGCTATGAGCATTATTTCGCTTAAGCTTTCGTCCGATGTTGCTTGCATCCATCACCTTAGTTAACCGATGTCAGCTTGCGAACATCTCATGAGCTGCTTCTCAAATGGGCCTCGGCGACCGCCGTTTCTTTGTTCTTCGCCCCGGCCACGTGTGTCCCGAGCCGCGCCAGGCGACGTGGGGCGATCGATGGCAGACGCCGGGCTCAAGGCTACGTTTTCTGCAGCGCACATGGCGCACAACCCGGCTACACAAGCGTCATTCAACGCCTGGACCCGTGCCTCGCTGATAGAACCCCCTCCCCCCAGTTGTAAATTTATTTCCCTCTCGTAAAGCGCTGGCAAGCGTTCAAGGACAAACCTCACGTGGTCTTAAAATCATCGGCGCGCCAGCCAATCGCGTGGCGCGTTGCATTTACGGTGGGCCGCGCATGGCGGGCCGCGCCAGACCGCGCCTCGGCTGAATCAAAACAGGGAGGCCGGTCGCCTCGGCCGCTAGTCGGGGAAGAGGCGTTGGGGCGAGAAGGGCGGGACGATGTGAAGAGGACTGTTGGAGGCAGTTGGAACTTTGGCTGTGAGGTGTGCATGATCCAGTGTGAGAGGGAAGATGCCGCATAATCGTCGCAACCAAGTCGCATTGGTGATTGGCCACCAGCAGAGGCTAGACCCAGCCACCATTGAGAACCAGAACTTCGAGTCGACGCTTTGCTGTGTGCCGAACGGCTGCCTGACACCCGATGTCGCCCTGAATCCTCAAGATCGCACGGGTGTCAGCAAGGTGCTATGCAACAACGAACAGTGCCCTTTCTCGGGGTATATGCACCGGCAGTGTTTTGATAACTGGGAAGAGAGCGTTCTGACATACCTCAAGTCCTGTGGACGCGCACGGTCGTGGTCTGAAAAACAGCGTCATCAAAATTTGTGGACGAAGAAAGGGTACGACCTCGCTTTTAAGGCCTGTGGCTGCCGTTGCGGCAGAGGGCATTTGAAAAAAGATCTCGACTGGGTAAACGCCGCGAAAACAGGCGATGAAGACAACACCAAGAGGCGCAAGAAGCATAACAAAAGCAACAAGCCTGTGCTAACTCTGACCATCCAGACGCCGGCTATTGGATGTAACGGCAGATCACGAGCGAACAGCTTGGGGTCTACTGGATCATCCCCGCCATCGTCTGGGTCAGAGTCGCCACACAGTCCCCAACATTATCAAGCGGTGCGCAAGAGATCCAATCCAAAGAACGAGTTCTTCGCAGAACGCCTTAGGTGAGTGTTTATGAACTTCTCATATCAAATGGCATGTAATAATATCCGTGCCTGTGATGGATTTTTACATTCTTAGTGATCAAACGCGAATTTTCTTGCTCCAGTTGGTTCTAAGCGTTTCGCTATGGAAGGACTGTGTTCAGCCGCCTGGGTCTTTGTTAAGTGTCCTGTAAACCGCTGTTGTTTGGTCATACCACTGCATTCCTCAAAAGGTCCGGAGTGTCAATACACTGTCTTGTTTGGTTGGATTTTGCTCTGATATGCGCATTTACGTGGGCATGTCGCAACATATTCCTCACTTAGTCGTTCCCTATGCAGGCACAATTCTGGAGGAAATGGAATTTTCGCCCGCCGAGCAGATTTCAGCTCCTTCAACATCCTACCAAAGCACAAAATCAACTCGTATCACATCAAGGTAAGTTTTGCGACATTTGTGCTCGTCTGGTGTCTTGACTTGTTTTCCTTCACTGCCCTTCCTATCAAGTCCTGGCCTATTTCGATGCTGTTTTTCGTTGCCATTTATTCAAGGCTGCTTCAATTCCTCTGCGGAAATACGGCGCCAGCTGGCTTCGTTTTCCGGGTTGCGCCGTGCCCCGCGGCGCCGTCTGCCAGCCGTTCGCGTCTCGCTGCGTAGTTTGTCCTTGAGCCACGGCCAAGGTCATTTCGGGAGCCGCCGAATCGATAGGCGGGGCCGGCCGCCGGCCAAGCCCAGCGCCCGTGGGGGGCGCGAGGGGACCTAGCTGCCGCTCGATAAATAATGGCCGTGTGTACGCGATACCGGGGCGCGTGTTGGTTGACTGAGCGTCTGATGGGTGTTGCCAGCACGGCAGCCCGGGGCAGACACTTTTCGAAAGCTATTTTGGGGCAGTGGAATCTTGTTGGCGCACGGTTTTCATTACAACAATAGGGTTGTTCGCTGCAGGCTGGTTCACCCGAAGCAATGAACCATATTTCAGCACCTATTGTTCTGTAAGGCGCGGCACCCGCGACTAGGCTGATGCCGAGGATGCGCTATTGAACGGCCCTGCTCCCCATTACACCTTTTGTTGTGGATGAGTCCGAAAACGCCTCACTGGGGCCAGGTCGCCTGTCCCTCAGCCCCCCACCCCACCGAGCCGGTGTCGCCGGCGCCGCTCCCACGCCGCCATCGCGTCTGCCGATCCCCGGAAGCGTGGGGCCGTCCTCTGGCACGGGGCCCGGCCGCCAGTAGCCCTGGCCTTTGGTGGCGGCCGGCGCCCTTCGGCGGCCGCCAATGCCAGCATCGGTCGATCCGCGCACACGCGGCCGCGACGCAAATAGCGCCGAGCCGGCCGCTGGCGGCGACCCGTCGGCACCGACGCGGCGCCGCCCTGCTCGTGACGTCGCGGACGACGCGGTAATGCGAAAACTTGGATCCGGAGCCGGCGTGGCGATGAAGGAGTGGTGCCGCACGTTGATGAATAGCGCGAGGAATTGGGGGCGCTGCCCGGGTCAGTCGTGGGCGCAAGTGGTGCAGGTTTGAGTGGCATATGAGGAGTTGCAAGGGAGATCCCGGAACCGGGTCTGCGTCGCAAGCACGTCGAATATGAATTAAAACGTGTTTTCATATTGAACGTAAGGTCTCAGTATTTATAACAAAACTCGTCGCAAGACGACCTCAGCAGTCGGCGCACTCCAAAACCGATATAAGGAACAATTTTGAATAATTTCTGATCGCTCCAAATGCCAGCGGGCATTTCGTTGTCACGTCCGCACCGTAGCCGTGTCATCACCCCTGAGCTGAGGTGACACGGTAGTCCGTCGAAAGGCGCGCTGGCACCGTCTGCCACCGGTGTGGAACACTTGTGCGCCGGGGTCTTTGTGGAAGGGCTGCAGCAGACAGCGGCGGTGATGTACTCCCCACGCCGCCCTATTTCACCGCGGGCCGCAGATTAATGTCCTGCCATGCCCGTGCCCCGCCGCGATGCCTGGGTTTAATTTGGCAGCGGGCGCGTTGGCTGGCGCCGCAGCCGGCGCGGCGGCGGTGCGGCGCGCGGTCGCGCGGTGCCCAGAGCCCAGAGCCCACGCAGCCTGATCGCTATTTGGGTCGGGCGGCGGCCGGGCGCCGGCGGCGGCGGCGGGTGTCCAGCAGCGCTGCCGTCCGCGCTCCTTTGTGCGGAGCGGAGCCTCTTGGTTCCACCGTGCGTTTAATGTTCCTTTGTGTGCCGGCGGGCCGGCCGCAGGAAATGTGCTCTATTTTCACCCCTCCCCCCCCCCCCGTCCCCTTCCCGACATAAATTGTCGCCGGCACGAGAGCGTCCGACAAACAGGCGTCGGTTGAGAGCCGTCGGCGGTTGCTAGGCCGGCGTGCCTCCGGTCCGGCGTGGCGGGGAGAAGTCGTGGTTCGTCCTTTCCTCTCGTTTCCTCGCTTCCCTGTCACCATGAGCAAGCTGAGGTTTGGTATCCTTTGTGGATTTTTCGATCAAGCGTGTTTGAAAATTCTCGTGAGAATGACCAAGGAGTTGGATTGCAGTATAGATCACGCGTCATGGCGGGCTTTCGGTGTGTTACTTGGCGTCCCGTGCGTTCGTAACTCAGCCCAGGGGGTCTGCTCAACACCGGCTAATTTCGGGACACTCACTGTGGACGGCTTGTGATGTTGGGTCATCTTAACTCAATCAGCCCAAACCAGATTCGGATGTGGAAACGTCCGGCTCTCTTATGTGAAGCGTGTTGACGTACCGCCTGCATCAGTCAGATCACCGAGCCCCTAGTTCCAGACTGTTATTAAGCTTCCGCCTCGCTTCAGCGTCGATCGTTTTGGCCGTCATGACTGACGTCTTTTGGGTGAGATTCATGCCACAACTCACTAGACTCTGGTCTGAAGCCCCTCGAGCCCTCACTGTTTCCGCCACAACAAGTCTGACGCTTCAGCGTGACTGTAGCCGCGCCCCCTCGGCCTCCCCCCCTCCCCCTCCCCCCGGCTGCCAGCCACTGGGGAGGTGCTGCTGACCGGAGGCGGCAGCGGACGTCCGCTGCCGCCCCCCGTCCGTCGCGGCGCCCCTCCCCCTCCCCCGCCCCCCCCCCCCCTGCGCGGTGTGGCGTCTTATTTGCGTCGGCCCACTACCGCGTGACTCACTCAGAGCCGTGTTTAATCTGCGATAGCTGCCGCGGCCGGCCGGTTTAAAAACGCGGCCGGCCAGAGGTCGCGTGAAGGTCAGCGCGCCGCGCAGTTGCTCACATGTTGCATGCCGGACGGCGCAGCGCGCTCGGACTGCACGACGCCCCGCCCCCACCCCCTCCCCGGGGCTGGCCGCGGCCGCGCGGACCGTGCAGGGCTCCGCGCAGGCCCGTGCGGCCTCGTGCGGAACTGCGGCGGCGGAGTGGGGGGGGGGGGGGGGGGGGGAGCGCCACAGTCCCAGGCGTCGAGTTTGTGCTGAGCTTGGGCGTTGGCTCGTGACAGCGGCTGGGCGGCGCCCCCGCCCCGGGCCTCCGCCGGCGGCGGCCTCGCCGCTGAGTGGGTGTTTTGGAGCATGGCGGCCACGACTGCGGGCCATGCGTCCCCCCCCCCCCCTCCCGCTGCCGCCCCGCCCCTCCCCGCGCGCAACGTGGAGGGTTTTGTTGTGTCTGCGCCAGCCCCTCCCCATCGCCCCGCCCGTGTTGCTGTCTCATTAGTCACGCCACGGGGGAAGGCGTGCGCGCCGATCCCTGTGGACAGATTTCATGCCATTTCGGGGATCCGAACCCTTCTCGCGAGTACTTAAATGTAATGGGTTTGTTGATCGTTGCGATTAAGAGCCGTCGCCGAGGGAAGGCCGAGGTGCCGGAGGTGCCGCGTGCGCTCCGCCTCCGTCATCCCCGGCAGAGCCCTGTGGGAGTGGTTGTGACGAAGGCGGCGGCGGCGGCGAGCTGAGGTGGCTTGCAGATTGATTTTTTCCGGATCGGGCTGTCGCCTCGTGCGCTCGCTGCGCCGCTCGGGCTGTTGTAACCCGGTAGAGGCTGGATATTGATCTGCGGTCGGCTGCCCTCCGCGCGCCGACGCGGCGGCGCGGCGGCGGCGGCTCGTCTCGTGCCACGAGCGACGTCGCCAGCCGTGGACGGCCCGCTTTCTTGCACGCGTCCTGAGCCGCTTGTCGCGCTCCGGTTCAGCCAGTCGGTCGCGCTGAAGGCCGACTCTGCCGTCTTGGTTTGCGGGCCACGTTTGTCTTTTTTGTGGGTTTCGGTAGCGCTGTGGAATGATCCTGAGTTGAGCTGGGCGCGCCCTCAGTTTGTGGGGCGACAGGGACTGGCTTCCTTCTCGTTGGTTGGTCTCTGCCTCTGAGGTCAAAAGCACGTATCGCATCTTGGCGATCATGGTTACGTGTTGCCGATTTTCCCATCGACAAACTATGCCGGTGGTGTTGCGCGGGGGAGACCAATGTAGCGCCGCCTCACTTAGTCCAGTGCCTGACACCGCCCCTGCCGCTCAGCCGGCGTGGTGTCTGCCGCCCGGCGCCCGCTCCGCCCAGTCCGATGCCTGGCACCGCCCCTGCTGCCGCCGGCGTGGCGTCAGCCGTCCGGCGGCGCATGCTCCACCCAGTCCAGTGCCTGGCGCCGCCCCTGCTGCCGCCGGCGTGGCGTCAGCCGTCCGGCGGCGCATGCTCCACCCAGTCCAGTGCCTGGCGTCGCCCCTGCCTGCTGCCGGCCTGACGTCAGCCGTGCGGCGGCGCCGCTGACCGAGCGCGCTGACTGCGCAGCGGCGGCGGCGGCGCGGGGTCGCGGGCCGCGGGCCGGGTCAGCACGCCGCCGGACGGCTGACGTCAGCGGCGGCTGCGCAGGTGCGGCGCTGACCGACATCGGCGGCCGCTCGCGTGACGCGGGGTCGTGCCGGGCCGGGCCGGACGGGACGGCGGCCCTCCCGCCGCCACCAGCTGCTGCACTCAGCCGGGTGCCGGAAGCGGTCATGCCTGCCGGCAGAACAACGGTCGCGCAATCTTGGAACGCGCCCAGGGTTCGCTGGAATGGGCGGCCTTTCTGGGAAAATTGGCCCCTTTTCTGGTGGTTAGGTGACGCACGCGCCCCGCTGGCGTCGCACCGTAGTCTGCATCCGCAAATGACACTTCCCTGCTCCGCTGGGAGGCGTTGTTGACATTGCCTGCTGGGCAGCGGCGGGTCCCGTCATGCGATATGTTTGGTCAGTTTCCTGTTTGTATTATTCAGCCATGTGGGTGACGACGACATGCGATGAGCCTAACAAACTTGGGTGTGGCGCTGCAACTTGCATGAAAACAGCGCGCTCTAACGCTGGCCTGCCGAACCGTCCCCTTACTGACCGCCGCCGTCTCCGCAGATGGAGGACGAGGGCTCCCAGGGCAACGACGACACCCGGTGTTTCCTGCTGTCGTCGCTCGCCTCGGCGCGCATGTGTCGCACCTTCTGCGTCATCTGCGGCGACTCGCTCGTCGTTTACGACCGCTACCCCATCATCGACGGCACGTTCTTCATCGGACCGAGACAGCACTCGCGGGCCTGCGTACAGGTGAGGAGGCGCCGTGGTCGGGGGCGTCGAGTGTACCCCGCTGCTGTGTTTGGTCGTCATCATCGCCGTCATCACGTTGACAATCATCACTTTCGACCATCGCGCACCGCCTGGCATCGCCACCATGATGCACAGCACGGTGCCGGTGTGATGATGGCGTGATGATCTGCGGCATCGGCGACGGCATGGTCGGAGCGGCCGCCTGCGGCCGACCAGTGCACGTCCCGAGGCGAGCCGCTCTCGGTCGCAGATGTCTGCTGCCCTGCCGGGGGCCGCCGCTGTCGCCGGCCTTGGCGATAGCCACTATCGGCTCTGCGGTCAGCAGCCGGCTGCACGGCCGGCAAACAGGCTCGGCCGGCCGTCTGCACGGCTGTGCACGACTGTGCACGCCGTGCTCGGGTCCGGCCAAGCGAGTCGGGGCCTGTTGCCTCCCCCCCCCCCCCACCCCCCACCCCCGCTCCACCCTCCGCTGCCGAGCGACGTTACGCCGTTGGCCGGCTCGGCCCGGCCCGGCCCGGCCCGGCCCAGCTCGGCCCAGCTCGGCCCGACTCGACCCGGCAGGTACACACGCACTAATGGAACACGAAGGTCGGCCGACTGCAGACGGCCCGACAAAACAGCCGACGGCCGGTAAAAACGGCCGCGCCGTAAATGCGCCTTAGACCGCCTCCGCCATAGACCGCCGGCCGGCCGGCCGCCGGTTACTGGGCTGGATGCCGGCCGGTGTGACGGACCTGTGGTAGCTGAAGGCTGTCGGCCGGGCCGATGACGCCTCAGAAGGGAGCGGTGGCAGCAGGCCGCTTAGTTACGGCAGCGGGCCGCCTGGCTACGAGGGGCCACCGGTGACTGCAGCCGCCATATCCCGCACCAGCTGGCGGGCCGGGCCGGCTGGTTCGTGTTTACCGCGCCCCTGGCACGCCGCCGCCGCGGCGACCAAGTGCGCCGTTGGCCGGCGCGCTCGGGGGCCGCGCGCCGGGTGGATCGCGCCCCGACTCGTGTAAATATTGACCGAAATTCTGCCGACCGGTGGGCGGCACCGCCGCTGCCCGACCGCTGTCGGTGCCCTGTCCGGGACTGGCGCCCGCTGGACGACCCCTAGCAACCCCTAGCGACACTTGGCGACCCCTAGTGACATGGTCCAGTCCGGTCTGGTCCGGTCCGGGGTGGGCGTCGCGCCTCCAGTCGGCCGGCGCCGGTCGGCCCCGCGCGCTCGGGCCGCCCCTGCCTCCGCGGCCCGTGACGTGGGAATCTCCGAGGACATGCAGTGTCGCCCCGGCAGGGTTTACACGGCCGCTGCCAGCGGGGAGCAGTGGCAGATGTTTACAGGGGGCCGACTGACAGAGGACGACGCAGCGAGTTGTCCGGCTCGAGGCGTATCTGGCGGCCGCGCGGCGACAGGGCCTGTGTGCTGGCCTACCTCCACTTCATGCCGAGTGCGGCGGCTTCTCGCAACTCACGCCGCCCGTGTTTGCTTTCGTTGCCTGCAAGCTGGACCGCCCGCGTGGCCGCCGGGATCGGACGCGTCGCCGTGGCGTGCGCGCGCGTCACGAGGACGTGCGCCACGGCACGTCTCGCGTGCGGCGCACGTCCGCGCGCCGTCGCCCGCCGGCCACCGGGCTGGAACCGAACGGCGCCGCGCCACGGCCCGCCGACAGCGTAATGGGTTCTCATGACGGCCGGCGGGCACGTCCAACCTTGGCGCGCCCTGCTGCGCTCCAAAGCCGCTGAAATACGGCGACCGGTTCGGCGCCGGCCGAAGCCGACTATCTGCCGCGCGCCGGCCCGGCCCGGTTATTTAGCGTCGCCCGGCTGATTGTTGATCGGACAGGCGCGCGGCCTCTCGGGTGTCGGCCGCGCGGCGCCGGTCCGGCGGCCCTCGCCGGGACCCCGGCGGCTTTGTGCGCCTGTCGCCCGTCGGCCGGGCCCGGATGAACGCGCGGTGGCCGGCCGGCCGGCGGCGTCCCGCTCTCGCCGGCGGCCCGGGCCGGGCGTCCGAAGCCCGGCCGGCCCGGGCCGGGACGAGACGCGCGCGCTGGCATTGCTGGCATGCCGTGGACGCGACGCTCCTCGTGTGCCACCTGCCCGTCCGGCGTTGGATCGGCGTGACGCGCGCGAGGACGCTGTTCGTCTCTCTGCCAGCGGGAAAGTGCCAGGGGAAGACGTGCGTGTGTGGTCGCTAAGCTCCGTGTCTTGCTTAGTGGGCCATGCGGGGGCAGACAGCGCGGCTGGCGGCTCGCAACAGGGAGAGAACTCGTCTGGATTCAGTTCTCTTGTCCCAGTACGTCGTGCGCAGTGTAAGAAGCCCTTACGGCATGATTGTATTTGTCATTTTGTATATTAGTTTGGCGCGTATCGGCAGCTGTGGTCATCGATCACCCAAAGCTCACTGGCACTGTGGCTGCCACTGTATAAACGGCTGCGGCATGCGGCTATGTCACCAGAGCGGCGCGCCATCAGCTGTGTGCATGAGCGCGCCGTCTCGGGGCACATAGCGCCACAGCTGTGTTTGGTCGCCGTCGCAGCTATTCTAGCTCATCGCGGTCACTCCGCCGCCTGCTCTGATGTCCGCTCCGACATTACAAAACCGGCCCTGCCCCACCCTGCTCTGTCCTCACCTCATCTCATCTCACCTCACCTCACCTGACCTGACCTCACCTCACCTCACCTCGCCTCGCCTCACCTCGCCTCGCCTCTCCTCATCTCACCCTACCTTACCTCACCTCACCTTACCTCATCTCACCTCATCTTACCTGACCTGACCTGGTCTGACGTGTCGAAATGGCGTGCCCTACCCCTGGCCCGACCTGACCTGACGGGACGAAATGACTTGCCCTGCCCTGACCTGAGTCACCGAACCTTCTACCCTGACCCAGGTAACTTAACGCGTGTGACATGACCTGAGCTGACCGTGCGTCATCGCTTCGTTGCAGGTGCGGTACGACAACCGCGTGCAGTACCTGTCCGCCGTGTGCATGGGCTGTCTGGAGGGCTGGACGGTACGGCTGCGGTGCCGGTGCTGCGCCAAGCCCTGGGACGGCTCCCAGCTCATCCTGGGCACCATGTACACTTTCGACATCTTCGCCGCCACGCCCTGCTGCACAGAGCGACTCAAGGTACGGTCCGCCCGACCGGCCGGTGGGCGGGGCTGCCTCGCCCCGCCTCCGCCCGGCGGCGCGGGGAGGGGGCGGGGGGGGCGGAAAACGTCGGCGACTGCGTTCGCGCATTATTTGGCACTCAGTCAGGGGCCGGTGCACCCGACGCGGCGCGTGATGGCGTCACGGGTTGAAGGTGCGGCTGGCGAAGCTGCCGGTCAGACGCGCGTATGGCCACATCGGTCTACCGGAGCCCGAATGCGCGGCCAAATTCGGTTGCGGGTTCGGGGAGGGGGGGCTTCGGTGTTTGTGTCCGAGACGGTGGCGAACTCACGGTCCAGAATGCGTCGCCTGTACCGTTGTTAAGCATAACACAATGCTGGCCGGGCCGTAGCATCGTACGCGGGGGGGGGGGGGGAATCCAGACAAACGGAACACCTTCAACAATTATGCAACGCTGGCGCATCTTGACGAGTGGGTGTGAAGTGTGGAAGTGACGCGGGCCGTAAAGTTCCGCCCTCCTGCCTGCGGTGGTGGCCGCCGTCGGCCATCGCGTGCGCCACGTGTGGGCGTCTGACCGCGCCACGTGTGGCCGCTGTCGGCCGGCGGGCGCGCCACGTGTGGCCGGCAGCGAGGCGGCTCGCGGCGCGCCGACACAGGGCGCCATTAGTCTCGGCGTCCCCAGCTGGCGCGCCGTCATCCCGCCTAACGACGCCGCCGTCGCCGTCCGCATCTCGCGCCGTTTCTTGTGGCCGGCGCGCGGCCGATTGGCGCGCTTTTTACCGGCGCCGTGTGTGTGTGTGCGCGCGCGCCGGCGGCTGTTTGGGCCGGACGCCGCGTGTTGACGTGCCGTCGCCGGCTGGCGGGCTCGAAAGGCCGCGGCCCCGTTTGATTGAAGGAGCCGGACGGGTGGTGTTTGCGCCGGCATGCCCGCCGGCAAGAGACTGAGCGCGTGCTGGGCGAGCTGGTCCAGTCAGATGACGGGGAGGGGAGAGTTTGCTCTGCGAGCGTTATTTTGGGTCTGTTTGCACCCGTCTTTTTACCGCTCTGTTTGCCTGGAGCCCTCTCATCCCTTCGTCCCCATTTCGACGCCCTGGTGTCGGCTTTCTTGTTTGGTCTGTCCGTTCCCCTCACGTCGCTGTATCGTGTTTTCCTCCCCTGTTCTTTGCGCCGTTTCTCGCTCCTCGCCCTGTTGCTCTGCCCATCTCCTCCGCCGCGCTTCCCCTCTGTCCGATGGGACATGCACGCTCGCGGGCACCGCGCGGGCCGAGTCTGCAGCCGGCGTGCAGGAGAGAGAACCTTCTGGCCGTCCGTCCGTCCGGCAAACCGCAGCCGCAGCTGGCTGGAGCCGCCTGCTCCCCCGACCGGCCGGCCGCGCCGCGTGCATACCCCGCCGGCGCGGTCTTGACCTGGTTTGAGGCCGGCGACCCGGCGCGGTCGCCGCCGGGGCCGGCCGGCACCTGCCGGCGCCGGCGCCGGCCGCGGCCCTCCCCGGCTGCGCGGCTGACGACGCTGCCTCCTACGATTATGCTAATGGCGCTGCTGTTACCAGTCGCGTGTAATGGGCTGCGTGTGGTCCGGTGGCCGCGGCGTCCCGAGACTCGAGCCATCGCCGATCAGCGCCGCTTTGTTTACCGGCGGCCGCAGCTGCCGCGGCCACCGGCGCCGGGACGGCTCGCACGCGGATCGAACTGGGCCGCGGAGACCCGCGGGAACCCATGCGTGACGAGAGGGGGTCGCGATCGCTCTCCGTCTGTCCGTGCGCCGCCGGATGCGCCGTCCGCGGCGCCCGGCGCTGGCGCCCGCCATCGAGCTCAAAGACGCGCCACAGGCGAGCCCGGGCCGACCGACGACCCGAGCCGTCGTGACGTCATCGACGAGGATCCGTCACTGTTGCGTCAGGACGCGCCGGCGGAGGCGTCTTGCACGCGCGTGCGGCGCGCCTCGGCTCGAGACGCGCGTGCCGGGCGCCGGCGCCGGCGGCGGCCGGCACGGGGGCCGGTAAAAGTGGCCCCGCCGGCCGGCGCGGGCGCGGTGTTGCCTCACCCGCCGGCGTGAATGGCCGTGTTGGCCATTGTTCTCGGCGCGATATTCGTCCCATGGCCGGCGAGAGGCGGCGGGTGGATGACCTGGCCGTCTGCCGCTGCCACGCGCGCCTTGCTGACCCTTGGTCGGTGACCTCGGGCGCCCTCCGACTCTTGTAGTGAGAAGTGCATCGTGAGATTGGTGAGAACCCAGTAGTCTCTCGGGTACTCAAGCGTGCGACGGCAGGGATTTTCCAGCGTCCCTTAACGATATGCTTCACACTTTCCGACGATGGGTGTAAAGGTGACCAGATGAACTTAGTTGTTAACATTATCTGTTCGGGTTTTAGCAGATGCCTGCAGTTGCTTTTCACAAGTTGCAGTCTCTTTAGGAATCAGGAGGCGGTATTATGGATAACGTACTGGTCGCTGCGTTCACAGCTAGATAGGGACTCGGCGAAGTCGGTTGCAAGGTCCCATGTGGAGCCCGGCAGTGTACCATCAGGTCATCGGTGCCCGCGCGGCCCGGGAGTCGAGCTGGGCGCGCCCATGACGCCACTGCGCCGCTGACACCCTGTCGGCGGCCGAGAGATGGCCTGATACGTGCGTGCCGTGCAGCTGGACCGGAACGGGCGCGTTATCGCTGTGCCCGGCGCCGCGGCGGTCGGCCGCGCTCCGGCGTTCCACCGCGTTACAATCCAATTACGCCGGCAATTAGGGCGGCCGCCGCGCGACAAAGGCCGCGCGACCGCGGCTCGCCCCGCCGCCGCCGGTGGCTGGTCCGCACGACCGACCGCCGCCGCCGCCTCGGGGCCTCTCCCTCCCCGCCCTGGGGGTCGTGTTCCTCTTTGTGTCGCTTATTGGCCATTCAGGGCGCGCGGCAGGGCGGGGCCGGCCTCGGCCTGTTGCTCTCCGGCGGCGGCGGCCGGCGCGCGCCCGCTCTCCCTGCTGCCTGCGCCGCCGGCGTAATTAATAGGAGCGCCTCTGCCAGGCGACCGGTGGGCTCTCTCGTCGCTGCCGGCGCCGCTCAAAGACCTCAATGGGCTCATCGCGGTAAATTGCCGCGGCGCCCGGCGAGTTGGAGTAAATCTCGTCAGAGCGCGCCGGCGCGACCATTTATCACTAACGAGATTTCTATGGCGCTCCGCGTCGCCGGCGGCCGCCCCGTCGGCGACGGACCGACGTGCCCCCATTCGGTCGGCGCGCCGGGCTGCTGACATTTGGCCGATCAGCGGCGGCGGCGGCGGCGGCGGCGGCCGTAACAGCCGGCTCGGACCCCGGCCGCCGTTGCCGCCCTGCCGCGCCGCGGGCTCCGGCTCCGCGCCGTCGCTCCCGGTCGCTCCTCGCTCCCCCGCCCCGCCGCGGGCTGTGGCTCGTCGGGCGCCATCGCCTCGGCCGGCCTGGCGCGGGGGCTGGGGAGGGGTAGGTTGCGTCATGAAGCGTGCACCGGCGCCGGCGCGCGCGGGGAATGAACTGAAAGTGGGTCAGCGCGGTTTTTTACCCCGCGGCCGCCGGATTTGGCGCGCCGAGGGCGGCCGGACGGCCCGCGCGCGCGCCCTGGCGGCCCAAGGCCGGGCCGAAAGTGCGGCCTTCCACTGCGACGTCGACCGGTGAGAACGGCCGACGCGGCGCCCGTCGGCCGCGCTGCCCCGAGCTCCACCGTTGCGCAGCCAGGCCTCTGGGTCAGGGCAAGTGTCAATGACCCCCCCCCCCCCACCCTCGAAGCGGTGGCGTCGCGGCGTGCACCTGTGTCGGCGTTTGGTGGCCAGGCTGCGGCGTCGTGCTATCACCGGCGTCATTTTTAATGTCGTATCGGGGTCGCTCGCTCCGGAGAGGATGGCCGGCTCACGACCGATAGCGGACGCTGTATCGGCGGTCTTGCGGCAGTGGTTATGTTTATTGGTTTGTTCAGGCCTTGCTGGCGGTGATACGGTCCATTGGAGGCTGCTTTATGTTGCCGCCCGTTGAAATTATTAATTTCATAGCTTATTTGCCGTTGTGTTATTACTTACGGGATGCTAAATGTCTGTCGGTTTGTTAATTTCATGCGCGCTGTCATTGTACACACATGCCAAGTACGCCACTTCAGTCAAAAATGAACTGTACTTTTGCACGACTACACTTGCTTGGTCGTGCCTACATTTTCTCGGTCGTGTCGTGTCATGGCGACTGCAGTGTGTCTGACCGCCCGCCGTCTCCTGTTGCAGTGCAACGAGTGCGAGTGTCTGGTGATCGCGCCCGACCAGCGGCTCAACTTTTTCTCGGACTACAGCCACATGGTGAGCTGTCCGTTCTGCACGGCGCTGGAGAACCACTTCGTGAAGGCGCTCTCCTTCTACCAACGCGTCGAGCCGCCCGCGTAATGCCGGCCTCCCGGCTAGGTCAATGTGTGCGTGGGCGAGCGAGGTGAGAGTCCCGGCCAGGGGCCGACCGACGGCGGCGCCGACGAGCCGCGGCGGCCGCAGCAGCCGCCGGCCAGCCGACCGGCGGACAGATCGACAGACCGGCCGGCCGGCCGGCCGGCTGGGCCCGCCGCAGAGACACGACCGCTCGGCAGACGCGCTCGATTTTTTATGTTTTGATACCTAGCGTAAGGCGGCTGCGCGATCGGTACGTTACGGCACGGCACGGCACGGCACGGCGCGGCATGGCGCGGTGGGCCGGGTCGGGCCGCGTGCCGGCGCCAGGACGGACTGGCGCCGGCCGCCGCGCCACCGCGGTCGGCGCCCGCTCGCACCGCGGCACGTCCGCTTGGCCTTTGGACGGGACTGACACTAGTTGATTTTGTTTGGTGCGCCCGCGCTTTGCCTAGTCTCGGTGTTAAGTTATGTATCAGTTTTGCGTTGGATTTCAGCAGTTTGCGCAGGCCCCGCAGCCGGCCAGTATTTTTGTACATAGGTCGCGTGCGGCGCGTGTGTGCGTGTGCGTGCGCGTGTTTGTGACTTGTCTTGTGACGCCGACAGAAAGAAGCGTATTTTCTCTGCACTTGTGCCGGGCCGGCGCCGGCTCTGCGCCGTCAGCCGCGCTCCTTCGGGGGCCGGCCGGCGCCGCCGAGCCTGGTGCCGGCCTGCCAAACTAAACCAGTCGGGCCGCGTCGACATTCGGTCGGCGCGGCTCGCACCGGAGGGGGCGTGTGATAAGACGGGATTGAGGTGGTCCGAGGCTCGCGCCGTGTTCGCCGCCGCGTTAACCGTCGTCTTCGTCGCGCCGTGTTCGAAGCGCCCAGCGTGGCCTGACGCGTGAGGTCTGAGTCGGGTGTCGGCCGTCCCCCGGCCCCGGCCCCCGCCCCCCCGCCCGGCCGGTCACTTGGCCGGCGCGACGCCGACCGGTCTCAAGAGCAGACCGCGACCTCCGCGCTCAGGTGGCGCCCGTCCCAGCGCCTCCCAAAACCCCCTGTAAGTGTACATAAGACGGAAAGGCTCGTGCCTAGAGCGGTCGGCCGTCGTGGTGGTGCGGCGTGCCGCCGCGGTGGGTGCCGATCGGGAGCGGGGGACCGCCTTCGCCCCCGGCGGTGCCGGCCGCGGCGGGGCGCCGCCGCCCGGCCGCCGGCCCATGCGCCCCGATCTCTGTTCGTTCGGACGCTCCAGCCGGTGGTGGCCGGGCCCGCCCTGTGTCTGATGCTGGCGGGACTGTCGGAGGCATTAAGTACAAACTAGTGGGTAAGGTGAGCTGGGGCCGCGGCCGGCGCCTTGTCTCGGGCCGCCGACCAGAGCCGGCGGCCTCCCCGGCCTCCCGCCCGTCCTGCGGTGTGCGGCGGCGCCGGGCGAGAGAGCGAGCGCGCGCGCGCGCGCTGTGCCAGCCGGCAGCGGCCGGAGTCGACGCCGTGGCCAGTAGACCGCTTGCTGGCCAGTCGATGCCACCCTTTCGGTCCCCGTGGTGGGCGGGCATCTGTGGGCGCTGTGCTGGCGTCGCCGATCGCTGACCGCACCGCCCACAGATGCCCCGGGCGTGCGGAAATCAGACGTATCACCGTAAGCCTCGGATGCAGGCCTACACCCTGTCCGTGCCTGTGTGGGTGTGGGTGTGTGAGCCGTACCTGATAGCTGTAAGCCGAGCCGACAAGCTCCTGCTGTGCGAAGCGCTGTGGATCCCGCTAAAGTACCTGAGGCGCCGGGCGGCGGCGTGCCGGCCGTGCGCGCGCGCCCCCGGCGGCGGCGGCGCGCGGCCGGCAGTGCCGGGCGCCGGGCGCCCAGGCGCCCCGGCTGGCGGCGCCTCGCCCCCGCCCCGGGCGCCCGGCCTCCGGTCCCCCGAGCGGCTGTGACTAGCGTAAGGTCTCTGTACATAGCAGCCGCGACGGCGGGCGGGCGCGGCGCGGTGACGAGTCGTCTTTCCGGCGGTGTCTGCGGACTGTCTGGGTGTGTGCCTGCGCCGCGCGCCTGCGTGGCATCTTCCACTCCGCCGCCCCCGCCCGCCCGCAGCCTTGTAAGCGTAACAACAAAAAGCACCACATTAATCCGGTTAGTTGGTAGTGACTGGGTGGAAGTTGCATGCGACGAGATATTTTTGTAACAAATGACACAATAACAAGTAAAGTTGAAAACTTCTGCCGCAGCACAAATCGTCTCGGCAGGTTATAATAAAAAAATAAACCCAAAACACGACGCAACGAAAATCCCGGTACAGTCTTCTCACCAAGAAAGAAGCAAACCTTCTGTATGAGTCGATCTAGTTCATAAACAAGGAACGCATTTTAGTCAGAAATTCTAATCTTTTCACAGGCGTCGCCCGGCGGTGCCGTGACCTAGTCTTCGTTTTCGTAATATTCACGCGGCCTCATTGTGTGCCAGTGCCGTACGGCGGGGGATGGAAGGGCTGAATGATCAGGGTGAGGGTCGGTTTCCGTATGCAAGCATGGTGCTGTTGGCGCTTCCGTGTCGGCATCTCGCAGCAGAACCTGTCCGGTGTGGAATACGTTGACTGGTGGTGGCATCGTTCATTGCATGCACGGTGACCCGACTGGCTTTGATTTTGCAAGCATGCGCACATCCGTCTGTCGTCTGACCAATCGCTCTGATCGTCTGTCGTCCGACTAGTCGCTCCTGATCGTGGTTTGATGTCCGCTGTTGACTCTAGTCCTCGAAATTACCAGCTCCTTGTAAGCGTGGCCCGTCGGTCGACATAGCTTGCCTTTCGGCGACGCCGGCCCCGCACCGCCCCTCCCCCGGCGCTGGCCTGGGGTCGCGACCCGGGGTCACGACCGGAGGCCAGGCCCCGCCGAGATCTCGTGGCGGGCGGGCCGGCGCCGCGCGTACAACCGTGTCTTCAACGAGAGGCGGCCCAGCTGAGATATGTACAACGGCGCGCGCCGGTCGGCGGGCGCTTTCTCGTGATGCGCGAGAGCGCGCGTGTGGAGGCGGTCCCCCGCGCGGGGACGGAGGGAGTACAACATCCTGAGGTAGTACAAGCTGTTGGTGCTGCGCCCGCCGGCCGGCGCCGCATGGAAGAGCGCGGCCGGCTGCCGCCAGGCGGGGCGCCGCGGCACTGCAGGCCGCCCCGCCCCGTCCTGCTGGTTAGGACGCTCTCACACACACACACACAGACACGCACATCACACGCACACTCGACCCCGAATTGTGTCCAGGCCGCGTGCGGGCGCTGGGCGCTGCCGGCGCCCGCACCGGCCCGTGGCGGATGGACGCCGGGCCGCCCGGCGCCCGCCCGCCCGCCCGGTGCTCGGCGTGGTGCGACGAGCGGCGTGTGCCGAGTGGCGGCAGTCATAGTCGTAGTGTGGTAGTCTAGTCAGCGCTGCCCGGTGCCTTGGTGGTGGGTCCGCTGCTGTACATTCGCGCCTGGGCGCCGGGCGGCGGCGGCCCGCGTGGCCGCCGCCGCCGCCCTTGCGGTCGAGCCAAGGTCAGGCGTGCCATGGGCGCGCCGCTCTGTTTACTACGCCGCGGCGTTAACTGCCTGCAACATCGGCACCGGCTGCCACGGGCTTCCAGCTCCCCGCCCCCCCCCCCCCCCCGCCCCTCTCCCTCCCCCTGCCCCGTGCCCCTCCATCCCCGGGTAGGGGTCTTTAATGTCGGTTTTTTTGCGGCTTCGGTTTTTTTTTTAGCGTGATGGGATTGAGGGAACGATAGTGGGGTGATGAACAAAAAGCGTCATTTTCCCGGTGCGAGGGGAACCCATCTGGTTTGGCGCACGCAACACGTTTGGGGGGGGGGTCTACGGGAAGTGATATAAAAAACATTGGGTACAGAACCCTGGTGGTGGTGGTGAAGGACACTGACGACAGAGAAAAAAGTGCGGATGCGGGTGAGTTGGGGCAGGACCTCCACCCCGTCCTAACGGTGGGTGGGTCGATGGGGGTGATTTCCTTTGTCGTGAAAAGAGAATGGGGGATATGAAAAATTTCGGAAGCGCGCCCCGATTGCTTGACCGGGTTCCGGGTGATTTGGGTTTATGAGTTCATTTCCGGGTGATTCGGGTTACATTGTTGTGTTCCGCTGTCGCCTGAAACCATCTCCGGGGAGGACGGGGAGGGGGGGTGGCGGATAACCCACAGCAGCACGGGCTCCGACAACCGGCGCCGAGCGCGTCGCCGCCGGCGTTACCATAGCAACCTCCGCCAAGGTTATCGATTTCGTCCAAGGTCCGACGACGGGCCGGCGCGGCGGGCGGCCGCGGCCGGCTCGGGGCCAGTGCCCACCGACTCAGCTCAGTAGAGTGGTCTCCAGCCGCCGTCTTCCTGACGCTGTTCCCCCGGATCGTGACCTCGCGGCGAGCGCCGCCCCCTCACCCCTCCTCGTCCCCTGTGGCGTTCAGTTACCGCAGCCTGCCAGCCCACCCCACCGCGCCGAGCGCGCGGCGGGCCGCCACCCGGGCCCCACCTCCTGCCCGCGGGGCACGGTCGCCAGGCCTGCGCCGGTGCCTCGCGGGAGTATCGTCGGCGAACGGTAGTTACCAAATCTCTCGGCCCGGGCGGCGCGTCCGGCGCGCCGGCCGGCCGGCCGACCTTTGACGTCGCAGGTCGACCCGGCCCGTCCCCCCCCCCCCCCCCCATGTAGTCCGATCTGCCCAGGTGGGCATATTCCACGCACAACCTCTCCCGCTGCCCCTACGCCCCTGTACATAGAGCTACAGCAGTGCGCTGTCGTTCGTCCCTAGGCTAAGGTCGCCGTTCTCCGTCGTGTATCGCAGTAGCAGCCGTCCGCAAAGGAGGCCTCCGTGGATGCTCCATCCAGCGTGCGTGCGCGTGCGCGTGTGCGTGCTTGGGTGCGTCTGTGTCGAGTGTAAGCGAGGAAAGCGGGCCGGCCGGCGCGCGCTGGCCGCCGGCCGCGGGTCGTGCGCCCGGCTCGCGTCGGCCGGCGCACGGCATCACTAGCCATACATACGTGTAACGGACGGCGAGAGAGCGAGAGCGCGAGAGCGAGGCGGGCGGCCCGGCGCGGCCGTCCCAAGTCGGGCTGTGACGCGGTAGTGGGTAGGCGGCCGAGCGCGCACGAGAGAGAACGGCCGAGCGGCGGCCGGGCCGGGTCCGCCGCCCGGGCGGCGCCGGCCCGGCCGCGTGCTGGCCGCGGCCGGCGGCGGCGGCGCGTCGCGGTCGTCGCGCCGCCGCCGCCGCCGCCGGGGTCGGGCGGTTTCGTTGCCGTGTGTATCGGCCTACGTTTGGATTATCAATCTGTGCCGTTTTTCCTGACCTCATCGAGTGTGGAGCGAGCGTGGCTGTGCCGTGTGCGAGCGCGAGCCTCGGCGCGGCCGAGGGCGGCTGTGATTAGACGTAAGGTCGCTTCGCATTTCGCTTCTGTTCGTGTTCGGTTCCACCGTGTCCC